TCAGTACATAATACGCCCCGTAAAATATTTGATAATAATAATATCGAATTTTCATCTTTTGTGTACCGAACGCTGGGTACCTAAACACAATATCATTATTATAGCAGCGCAGACGGGATAACGTCATATTATTATTATGCAGGTAACATATTATTCGTTTCGGACGTTTTGGGACATTACCGGTTTTTTTTTTTTTTTTTTTCTAAAGATTGTGTTACGGATATAAAAATATTAACGATCATTATCGTAACATGTTTGTTTTATCGGACCGCTGAAACGGGTTTAATTTTAAAACACGACATTTCGGTATTGTTAAGTTTTTAGTTTTTTTTTTTTAAACTCATATTTAATAGGACACTGCACTCGTGCGTCTGTATTACATTAAAATTTTCTCAGTCCGACTGAACGGACAGCATAAAAATCGACGGCCTAATTACCGAGTTGTGTCAAAACTCCAAAACTGCGATTTTGTGTTCATGATATTTAGCAACATACTTGGAACTTAAATATTTGTTGGGACTTTATTCACGTTGAAATCAGAACTAAAAAAAATAATAATAATACTAACAAAGTTTAAGTTAAAATTGTCGTTTAAACGCAAATCGCGAAATTTAGGTGTTGTTTTTTTTTTTCTCAAATTTTGTCATAAAAACAATTTACAGCCAATTTAAAAATAATACGACGTTTATTTACGAAAAAAAAAAAAAAGCTTTCGTACAACCTAAACAACATCATCTTTTTTACACTTCGTTATTCGTTTTTAATCCCTAACCGTAACTTACGTATATTCCATGTGTCGTCCATCGGTTGAACTCTCCGAGTTAAACCGAGATAGTATAATATTATAAAATATGCGGGTGTGCAGTTTCTGTTAAAAGGTTTCGTTTCATATACATTTTCATTTTAAAAAAAGCAAAAAAAAAGATGATTTTTAATATTTGACGTAAAAGGAACACCGTGTTAGTATACTAATTTACGGACACTAAAACACTGTGTTTTTCTGGGCGATTCTGATTGGATAGCAAATCGTTAGGCATGTATATTGTACATTATGGTATTTTGGCTTTTTTCCGGTAACCGTGCAAAAAAGTCCCTCATAGACTTTTATCATAAACTATTGTTTCTCTTTTTTTGATGTGCTTCACCTCTCATAACACATTTATCAATATCGGGGGAGGATATTCCCAGGATAGCCCCCCCCTAAATACACCACTGTAAACATATACTACAATACTGTTAATTATTTTTAAATATTACCTATAAATAATTGAAAAATCGTAGAAACGTAAATATACGACTTAAAAATTAAAAAATACACGTTATTTATTAAATTTTTTTTAAATTTTTTACAAAACCGATATTATATTCGAAAGAAAACGTTTTAATGCTATCTCAACTGGAAAATTTCAAAGAATGTGATTTCCGATACGGCGTGAACGGTATTTATTTTATTTTTATGTATTAATCCCCAAAATGTAAAAGAGTACGAATAATAATAATTATATTAGGTACAATTAGTCATGAAAACTGCATTAATAATATAAATTATATGTTATATATACATAATTATATATTTATATAAATATAAATTATCAATTAATCAATCGTCTACTACAAATATTAGTCAATCATATTATTCAAGTTGTAATAATTCTGATACGGTCAAAACAAACATGTGAAAGAAAATCCCGATTTTCGTTAAAAGAAAAAAAAAATAATATCCAGATTTTTTGAATATTAAGATCAGAAACTTATTGTAAATCTCTGTATAAATCCGAATCCAGAATCCCATGCGAATTATATTCAATCGAACATCCGACTTTTTCTATAAATTCTGGTTCACTGAAATTCCGATTTTAGATTATTTTCTATAACAAAAACAGCAAAACTATAATATTGTTCTCGAAAGTAATTCGAGTATACAATTTATATAACATTAATAAAACTATGTTTTTTAATTTTCTAGACAAAAAACTTTTAACCTCACCTATTACGTCACCGCTTATTGCCATTACCCGTCTTGTCTGGTTTCTCATAACGCATACTCTATAATATTGAGTCTAAATACTCTGTTTTTTTCTTCAACTTATCGTTGGTCCCTTTCCTTAAAGTGCTACTCTCCATTTCTCAAGCCTATTGGTATAGAGGCTTTTTCCTATCAAAACTATATCATCTGCGAACATCATGTACCATTTGAACTTCTCTCACCTGTTGTCCCCGAGCACATCCGAAGCGGGACAATCCACCAAAGTCTAGTTTATAACTCGTCAATGACGGAATTTTACACCAGTTGTTGACGCAACACCAGGGTGTCGAAGCAACGCCATTTGTCAACTCTTACGACAGGTAGAGGGGTACCGCGAGGATGTTCTAATCCTCTCTTACAAGTTAAATATACTTGAGTAATGGGTTATTGGTAAAATCAAAATTAGAAAAAAAACAAATTTTTAAATAAAAAAAATGGAAAACTCTTCGGATATAAACCTGAATTACTGTAAAATTCAAAATCCGGATATGACAAATTAGGTATCAACTATAATTTATGTACAGTATACAGGTACCCGATCGGTATTAGTAGACAGTGGCGCACTAAAGGAAGAGAAAGTGAGAGGGGTGGGCGGGGAGGTGGGGTGGTCGGTGGTCAAGGGAACATAATCCTCCTCCGAAATGTCTTCCTTTAGGCAAATTATTTAACTAAGTTTTACAATTTACATACATATAAACGAACCACCACCCCCCATCGAAAAAAATTCTGCGCGCGATACTGTTAGTAGATAAGTACCGGTATTATAATTAATTTTAATACATCGGCTACCCACCTATGGGCAAGTAAAGTACGAGTATTTTTTGGCTCGATATTAGAAATCTATGGCGGCGGGGAAGCCGTTAGTTCACTGTCCCCTGTAAGTAGGGAGGAGGGGCTTTCACACAGTTGTAATATTCCTATCAGATTACATACGCGTATGATTTTCAAAATATTATCGTCGGAAAAAACGGATTCCGGAATGCGAATTTCGCGCAGTGGCGCGCGCGCATGTGTGTGTGTGTGTGTGTGTGTGTGTGTGTGTGTGTGTGTACACGACAACGATGATATTTTATTTTTATTGTCGTCCCGTATGTCATTTACGCAAACGTCATCGCGGATAATCGATTTTTGGACGGCACACAATGCGATATAATGTATTACAATAAAAACGCGTCGTGTGCGCGAGAAGGTTCGTCTTCGTCGTCGTCGGCCCGGACGAGCGCAACAAGACACGTAAACACAACATATTTTATTATTATTATTATTATTATTATTATCGTTTATTGTTATACTTATAATGTTATATTGTTATTGTTGTGCGTGTCCGGAGGAGGATACGCGGGGACTGCCCATCGAGAGACGAAAGGGTCGAAAGGCGTGAACGAAAGGAGGGGGGAAAATTCGAAAATTCGCCTCGCCGTCCGTGTACCGTAAACACCGGGCTACATTTTTTCTGTTTTTCTTTCGCAACCTCGACGACGAGTAAAATGACCGTTTTAATCGCTCTACGTTTTGCATAAAAAAATAAAATCGCACGAAAAAAGGGCCTTTTCTTCCGCCTAACCGACGGAGCCCGGAATTCCACGAAAAATCGCGATGTTGTCGGCGTAACGACATAATTTTAATATTTCGGACCTCTGCGCGACATCGATGATTTTGTGTAAAACCCGCGGACGAATCGTCGTCCGTCATGGAACACGCACGCCGTTTTATGGATAAAAAACTATTGTCGACCGGCGGCGCGAACGTTTTGCCGGTATTTTTACCAAACGATAAATAATGTTTTCTGTGTATAATAACGAAAAATCGCGTCCCGGTAAAACTGAAACAGCCAATTCGTTGCGGACGCGATACGCTCGCAGAATCCGAAATCAAAAACACGTCTATGAAGTCGATCGGCCGAACGTGTCACCAAACACCTTTACGATAATTTTCTAATCGGCTTCCTGAACGATTCTTATCGCTTCGGCTATCCTTCTGGGTATCGAAATATGCCCCCCCCTCCCCGGTTTACGAAAATTGTCGCTTTCAATCGCGGGGACCCGTTAATGAACACAAACATCCGGTACCGATCGCGAACGTTCCCCCCCGGTGCACGGAAATAGCACGGGAGCTACCAGCGAGGTATAATGTCCGCGATCGCTTATCGAATTACACCTTCGATAACGGTCTTATCAGTAGTCGGTTAGGTAATTTAGTGATTTATTATTGTAAGGTACCTGTCCGGCCTACCTGTTATTTGTTATCGTGTACCGCCGCCGCGAAAAACCGGCTACCAGTGGAATTTCTACGACGGCGTTCGTGTCTATTTTTATTTTCGAGTACTTATTGCACACTGCGGACAGCGCAGGCTATTACGATAGTAATAACGGCCCAGCCCCGAACGGCGTCCGTAAAGTACCTGTACTCGCGCGGTAACTTCAAGGACAGTCGGTGGCCCCCGTCTCTTTCACCGCCGACCCGTCCGAAAATCCGCGTTCGGAACAATATTATTCACGCCGCCCGGACGCGCCGTATAGTAGCGAGGTCGCGAATCGGCCGGCAGCCGTCGCGAACCCTTCCCGCCCAATTCGTTCGCCGTTCGCCCGGTTTAGATGTTTTACGCCTGGTCGTCAAAACTTCATCGGAGCGGGACAACTGGACGGGTCAATACGGGACTGCCGGAACAGACGGAATCCCCTTGCGGACGTTGAAAATGCAATTTTCATCTGACCGGCATTTGGTACCGGTGACCGGTAAACCCGTCCGGGGACAGACAACACTCTACACCCAAACTATATACGATCGAATTATTCGAAAATTCGACAGACATTAATTATAGTGCGCACCAATAACTACAGCGGTGGGCACTGGGCACTTTGTAACCTCGTACGTGGTATATTATTATCGTAACGGTAGAAAACTTACGTGGTGGGACGGTCAGAGCGGCGACGTCGGAAAAATCGATATGTACGCACGCGGCACCGGTGATACCGGTGGCGGCGGCGGCGGCACTGTGAGCGGGGAAAATGGAAAAGTCACTGGCACACGCATACGTCGGGTAGTCGGTGACTTCGGTTCGAATTGCATGTACTCGGGAACGAACGCGAACTAACGCGGAAAAAAAAAAAAAAAGACCGCCGAAAGAATGCGGCGGCGGTACATACACACGATCGGACGGCGCACTGAAACGACGCACTTGCGCGGGCACTGCGAGACGACTCGTAGCGCGAGAAAAATAACAGGTACTTCTTTCAGCCTCTGCCGGTACTGGTTTCGTTGCGGCGGCGCGCTGACGAGGATTCCGCGGCGGGACGGGCGGGGTCATGGGGCGGCGACCGAGTGGGAGTCGTCGTCGGTGGCGGTACCGCGGCGGCGGTGTCGGTGCCCTTCGACGACACGGCGATAGTAGCGCTACCTATCGGCGGTACAGCGCACTACCGCCAGCGCTCGTGAGCGCTTTGTGTGCGCGCGTGTAATAATAATATTATAAAAAACTACCGTAGGTACCGGGCGACCGGGCTACCTGTACCGTGAGTCGTAGCCGTCGCCGTGCCGAGCCACCTGCGCCCCTGCCCGCGCCCGACTATACGCGTAGACGAAGAGACGGTCGACGGCCGCCGCTCCGGTCCGTCGTCCTCGTCTTCGGAGTCGGTGGCGGCCGCGAAGTGGGAACGTACCGATGAGAAGTTTGAGAAAAAAAAAAAAAATCGAAATAGAAATCTCGAGTATTGTGTGTGGTAGGAGACCGCGACAGTCTCTACGGCGGTTACAACCACGGTTTCACCCGTGATGGTTGTTACAACGCCGACCCGACGGGCGTTATTGTGCATCTGTGTACACATTATCATTATTGTTGTTGTTATTATTATACATTATAGCGTAGTATTAATATTATAATATACCCGGTCATCGTTATCATTGTTATTATGTATTCGTCGCGTGTGATAACGACTAAACGGCACAAATCCGGACCGCCCGAGATTTGAGAATCCGGATATTTCCGTGTAATCCGTCGCACGGTTTACATTCGTTGAAACTTACGATTCTTTTATGGGACTTTTTTTTTTTTCTTTATCTATCCGGAAACAAATTATTTTAATATTCTATCAAATATCGATCGGTTCGTTGAAATTCAAGTAACTGTAGAATTTATTGCGATTCTCATTTCCGTTATATTTTGTTTGTCAAATCGTTTGTTGGGCGTGGGTATTATAATTGCTAATAATAATAAAATGCAATGTAATAAAGATTCGATTTTAATTGGATTTTTGAACTGCATTATGATCGTTATAATTTATACCGTTTCGAGAAAGTTTACTACGAAAAACGCAAACCGCCGAAATGTACTACAGTACCCATAAATTAATTATAATTTTTATTTTCAAAGTACATCGTGCGGTGACGGTAGACGGTCGTTCTAAAGCCGTTTTGCTTTCATAGGTAACCAGCATACATAATAATAATATTATCGATATTTATTTAACGAATCTTCGAAAATATGCGAGTAATTGGAAAGGAAAAACGTACGTTTACAGAATCCCCCCAAAGCTAAAATGCCCGTACGATGTGTATAGTATACCTACATTATATTATAATACGTATATTATTAATAGTTTTCCGTTTTACAAGATATATATTTTTTTTTTTTTTATAATTTTATGGTAATTATTATTTTTCGACGTTACAACTTTATTATTTGAATAATATATCTGAAAAAAAAAAAAAAAAAAAAACGTTAATACTTTTATAATGGATACTATTATAATGCGATGCAGCTTTTCGCGTATAATACTTTGTATGATTTAAAATCGCTTAAAAAGGAATGCAGTATGCCAGTGTTGTGCGTATAATATTTTGTTCTGTATAATTAACAAATACGTGAACTGCTTGCTGCTGCAGTGTTGTGTTTCGTACGGCCATTCCAAAAGTATTAAAATTTAATCGGTTTTTCGTGCATGATTTCGTATATATATATATATATATATAATTTGTTTTTCGAAGGAACATTTTTTTTTTTTTCTGCGTACTATCTCGTGGGGGGAATCGAGACACCGCAACAATTTTGTAAAGTAAATATTCTATTAACGTCTTATTAACATCTCCATACACAATTATACCTACATAATAATATTATAGGTAGGTATCTGAGGTATCTATCGATCATTTTTTTTTTTCAAAATTATAATACACATTGTTCATTTCAATTAGAGGAATAAATTAATTATAAAAATACAGTTCGTGCAATATGGGATGAGTATACTGCAGTATACGCATCACTGAAATGGATTTTTTTTCGCATATAGTTGGTTTTATTTAATGGTTAATTTTGTTAAACATAATATTTTACAACCAATTATGTTCGTCTTCGGAGTCTACAAAATCGGCCATCTAAGACCATCTTGTCATACATACCGACAGGCGTGGATCCACGAGAGGGGAAGGGGGGTGATGGGAACGATCGCCTTCTCCCATGCATTTTTTTTAAATTATTACTAACTGCATGTTATTATGTTATTATGTTAACGAAAAATACTTCTAAAAATATGTTTTACATAAAACAGAAAAATTTACATTGTCTGATAATTTCTAAATAAATAATTACTAATTTTTAAATTGCAGACTTGTTTTTAATTTTTTTGTCTGATTCTTATTATTCCGATTATCTGATTACGTATCGCCGGAAATCGTTCAATCGCAAATAATAAATTATTAATAGTCGCGGAATATGTTGGGAAACAGCAGAACATACATTATCTTATCTATATTTCATAAAGCCGTTGATCTTATGTTTACGTACCTATGTACTATTAATATATTATACGATTCGTTCATTCGTATAGTCGTATACATGTATACCATTCATTTCATGAATTCATTGAAATAACATAAATAATTAGCATCCAATGCAGATTAAATAGGAAAAGGTAATTGAATTTTTGAAAATCCGACCACCCCCCCTCCCTTGGGTGGCTTTTGGATCCGCTACTGCACCCCGATCTCCAGCACTGCAGTGACGCGCTACGAGTATTTATTTAGTAATTCAACCTGAAATGTACATAATATTTCATTCAAGTTGCAAGGAAAAGTTAAATTTATTTTATATAACTTGAAATGTTTAAATGCCCACTATTGAAATAGGTATAAACAGGTATACATATAGAAGAAGATTTTATGATTTCTTCGTGATTATTATTTATTACATCTCTCCCATAGCAAATTCCTGAGCACGCCACTGCTCCAGTTATCAATATCTGATGGTCGTGCCTTTAAATCAATAATCCTTCTCCTAGTTTTTATATACGTCTTTTCGACTACATAATTAATATATACTCGCGGATTTATTGGAGGGGTTCTAGGGGGTTTGGATTCGCCCCAGCTACCGATAAAATTACAATAAAATGTTGTCTAAAAAGAGGCGACAATTAATAAATGCTATTATATAGTATTAAATACGTTTTTAAATGTTAAGTCATACGTTAATAGGCCCCTTCCAGAAAAATGTTTAAAATTCGCCACTGATAATTGTACACCTCATTATCGGTCTTCCCCGGATGGATCTTTTCTCCGTTTCTCCCGCATTGTACGGAGTATTAGGTCTTGGCTTCTTCAGGTGTTTCCTGTAGTCCGTTATAATTTATCATATTTCTGGTGGCTTTTCCTATGTGCGGGTTCTGATATAGTGGTTTTCTCCTATTCTATCAGTCTCAGGATTTTAAATCTTTTTCGGCACCAAACATTTTCCTAATAATAGTTTACAGTAAAAATAATTTTACTATAATTTATTATTGTATTCAGTGGTATGCCCAGAAAATGTTCAATGGAATGGGATGCAGCAAATAAGAATTGTGAATAAATCGTAAAATCGTCTTCTCTACCCAAACCGACTATGGGAATTGGTAATTTAAAAGCCGAATCCCATAAAGAAGCCAATTTTTAATCAATACATCGAGGTTTTCCTCGTAACCTGGCTGACATACACGCATTTCGATATTAGATTACCCAAATGTTTTTGTACTTTTAAGCCAATGGAAGGACGTAACCCCTAACGTCCCCCTATGCGCACGCCAATGATTATCGCTCCACCCCTTTTATTTGTATTCGCCATTTTCGGTATTAAAATATGTGTAAGAATTTATTTGTAAAACAAGAACAGTCTTATCTGACATAAAATTTATGAACTTCATATAAATAATAATAATCTGAAATCTAAAGCCCGTCGAAGAAAAAAAATTCACCTTGCTGTATTCTGTTTTCGTGTATATACAATAACACATAAAAAGTACACCTATATAGGTACTGGGTTTTTTCCTCTCTACATAATGATTATAATGCAATACCTATATTAGCAAAATTATATGTCCATATGCGTGTACCCACGAAGTGTGTAAGAAAGTTACATTTTGGAATTAAAATCACGGCGTGTATAATATAGTATCTAGTAGTTATACCGTTATGGCCGAGCTGGTTTGAAATTAATTACTAAATCAAAAAAAAAAAACAACCGAATAATATAACATGGGTAGTAAGAACACAGCAGAAGTCAGTCACACGGCATTAAACTTTGTTTTCTTCGTGCATCGTACCTATATAAAGTAGTGTTTTAATTTGTAAAATATTATTATGTTACTACTGTTACTACTACTGCTATTATTATATTACTACTGGTAGTAGTAGGCACGCTTGTAGTTGTATACGCGAACAATGGAGAAGAAAAAAAAAAAAAAACGAAATAATGAAACGACGTATATAATATGCGGCGGCGGCATATAGGTACGTTAAACACTCGGAACCGTATTACCCGTCGTCAGATGAGACGAAATGGAAAAAAATTGTATTTTTTAAACACAAAATCAAACAGTCATTCAGTACAGTAAATGACGGTTTTTGGAAATTGGAGAAAATAAAATATCGTTTCAGTAATCAATTTTCGTAAAATACTAAACAAATGTATAGATTATTAATCTTCGTCTGGAGCTTTACGCTCCTCTAAGAACTTTCGCTGCTTCTACGACACTCCTCCATAGTATGTCCTTGTCCGGGCTATATCTTCTGTACTGTTAATCCCAGAGTGTAAAGACCGGGTGGGGAGGGGTGCTGTGAAGGGTTTAGAAATCATCCCGAAACACTAATAAAATTTGTTTTTTTACCCTATACGCCCGTTTTAATATATCATATTACATTACCTACGGCTAATTTAACTTCTCCCCCTCCCCACTAAAAAGATATCAAATCTCCGTCTATGACCGAGTGCATTTGTTTTAAATTTAAATCGTCGTTATCTGTGTCTTTTAAACGCT